CACAAGGTGCACCGCATGAGGAAATTAGGGGGCAAAAAAAAAAAAAAAATGTTGCGGGGTGCCGACGACCCCCGACCGGTAGGTGCCGACCAGCCGACCGGTTGGCGGGTCGGCAGCCGACCAGTCAAGGGTCGCCAATGGTCGGGGGGGGGTGTGTGCAACACTGGTACTAATAATACATGCACAACAGACATACTCCGGCACAAAGACCTCACATCTACTGCAACTCACAACTCACACCTCACAATCCACAACTCACAAATCGCAGCAACCATACCTGCTCAAGGCTGTAACATACACAGTATACAAAATTGACAATAGAAACAACAAATAGCTCAATAGCACATATATAGCCGTAGCTACAACGACAGAAGACAACTACTGGATAGATAGCAATGAGACAGTCAATTGTTTACTATTGTAAAACTGTCAATCTTTTACATTGTATTCCACACGGATGCTGGACCCGATTTCCAGCAGGTGCTGCTCCCCACCAATAGATGGAGCCTCCCCGAAGGTGCAAGCGGTGTTTGCTCTTATCAGCACCTCTAGCAACCGTTCGGGTTGTTTTTCTAAAATAATAATAATAATAATAAATTCTAAAAATAAATCGTCTGTATACGTGATCCTATGGGCGCTCTTGCGTTTTCTTTTATTTACTTCGGCCTCTCACTCAACTCACTCACTTGAAGACTGGAACTACGAAGCAAGTAGAATAGAGAGCCGTATGATAGGTGACTATCTTGTACGGTTCGGAGAGGACTCGAGTACCGCTGGCATGTTTTGCTCAGTGGGGAAGTTTCACTCTATTGAATATACCAGGAATTGAAGGTAGTATTTTACTCATGTCAAGTCATGGACTGGTTTCTTCAGCCCTTTTTTATGTGTAGGTGCTTTATATGATCGACATAAAACCCGACTTGTTAAATATTATGGAGGCTTAGTCAGTACAACGACGAGATCCTTTAAATCCCACTGAACCAGAAGAGGACCAAGATTTGGTATCTTCAAAAGAATCTGTTATGGTAATTATAGTGTTACTTAAAGTTGATTGAATATAAGCAATACCGTGTTTTGTTTGCATGGCGTTTTTGATGTTATTTGACTTTGCAAGTATGATAAGATGCATAACGATGACCCAGAAAAAATGACAACTCTGGGTCTGTGCATGTTTTCTTTCATCTGTTTTGCGTTTTTGTTTGGGTTTCCCACTCAAGCTCCAGTCTCCCACTTCGTGGCCGCAAGTCCATTAGTATGTGTTCGTTGGGCCTTATGGCGACACGATAACAACCATAAGACAGATAGAATTTATAATAATAATAATAATAATAATAATAATAATAATAATAATAATAATAATAATAATAATAATAATAATAATAATAAAAAAGGAACCACCTCTGGACAAGAAATCCACATACCCATCTAGGGAACTAAGTAGGAAGCAGGAGAGCAAATGCGGTTTCCTTCAATGTAAGTATCGGAGTATGGGACACAGGTTTGAGGATTGAGCCCTCAAGAAGGGGCCTTGCCATGCTGTACATGTTCTGGGCTAAGGCCCCAACAAGCCTAGTGCCCGCCCTAAGTGAAGGCGGGCCAGCAAATCAACAAGAGCCCTCTGTGCAAACATTTCCCGAAGTCGGGGTCCATACAGTTGCAGCACGCCAGTTGGTTGGAGTGCACCGAGTCTCGAATCTCTGCAATATCCCAGGGCCTCTGAGTTAGTTAGGCCCTGGGCACTTGAACGTGAGGCCGACAATGCATGCTGGGTATAGAGGCCGAAAATGCCAAAGGGAAATCGGCCCGCTATCTGAATCTGGCCACAGGCCTTGATGAAAGAGGCGCAACTGCATTGCCCCGGGCCTCAACTGTATCGGGTTGGGTTCAGCCACTGGGGCCCGGTCGCAGGCTGAAGGGAGGCCGCACACACGCAGCACTGGCATATAGGCAAGCAGGGCGAGTGGGCAGGGATCTTGGCCAATGCGAGCATTGCCGGCAYGCTGCGCGAATGCGAGCTGCTGCTGCGCTGCGCTAAGAAGAGGTGCAAGGCAGGCAGGCGCTAGGCGGTAGGGCGCTGCCTGTGCACTGTGCGCTGGCGGCCATAGCCGGGCTGCATGGGGCGCAGGTGAGGGGAGGGCGAAGGTGGTTCTTCGGAGGTGAAGGGCGCTGTGTGGGTAACAAGGGAGAGTGTGGGTGAAGAGGACACGTACCTGGTGGAGGTGGAGGTCGGCATTGGTATTGACATCATCACTCGCTGGTAGTCAAGTTGTCTGGTTGCTTTCATTGCTGTAGTTGTAGGCTTAGTCTGTAGAGTAGATAGGGCGCCTGGCGCCAT